CATCAAATATGTCACGACTACCATGAGGCTACTCGAACAAGCTAGAATGGGAGGAATTCTAGGTGCATGTGGTACAATCTTTGTCAACTCTGAAAACTTCACCTATCTGACCAAAGGTACAACCATAGAGATCCATCAAAAACAACAACAGAGATCTCTGAATATCTACATCAAATATCGACTACCCTAAGCCTATTCAACATCATTGACGCCTACCTTCCTATCCTTCATCATCTCCTCCGCCTCCACCATCTTAGCCGGATCGGCAATCGGAATACCCATTCTCTCCTCCTCAATCTGTCGAATCGGTCCAGTGAACCACTTCCGTGCCCACAAGAACCAGCTTCCGAAAGCCCAAGCGGCCACAATACCCACAGCTACGGGCGTGTAGTTCAGAGTCTGACTCGTCACAGGATTTAACTCCGGCAGACAGAAGACGATAGTGATGAAAGTGATGTACAGAACCGCGATCAAGGCGATCGGACGAGAAGCAGCACGGAGGTTGAATGGTCCTTTTGCAAAATTGGATGGATAGATCAGGCCGATCAGGATGGGAAGACCATAAGATATATACAATCCGATCGTGGCGATAGAGGTCGCAGCTGAAAAAGCCACCGAGGATCCAAGAGAAGGTATAGCCAGCAAAAAGGCGAGGAAGGCCGCCAAGCAAATAGTGCGAATGGGAGCTTCGAATTTCGTATTGACATGGTCGAAAAAACGAGGGAGACCATGGTCCCGAGCGAAGGCGAACATCATCCGGGAATTCGAAGTGAGGGAGAAAAGCCCAGCGTGCCAAACACACAGGATGATAAGACTCATCAAGGCGATGGCGCCCTTGTCTCCGAAGATGTCGATCAAGATCTGTGTGACTGGTTGTCCTACGGTGCTACCGACTGTACCGGCGAAATCCTGGATGGAGAAGAGGAGCGCTATTATCAGGAAGAAGCCGAATACAGCCGAGACACCGACGGACATCAGTACGCCCAAGGGAGCATTCCAAGATGCATTGTTAGTCTCCTCGGACAAATGAGCCGAAGCATCATAGCCTGTGATGGTGTACTGAGCCATCAAGATCCCACACACAGCTACATACGCAGGCGAGGCACGAATGCTCCACCCTGGATCGCCTGTTCCATCATAGAAGGTAGCGAAGACGAACTTGGCAGGTTGATGAGTTGGTGCTTTAGCTAGAACAGCGATGGCGAAACAAGAGACTCCGACTGAGTGGAGGAGTACAGAGAAGTCGTTTAAGTAGCGGAGGAATTTGACGCAGAAGCTATTCACAAGGACGTGGGAGGAGAGAAGAGCGGCATAAATTCCAATCGTTCTGGCGGCTGTAGGCGTGTAGCCGCTGTTGACGGTTGCAGTCGTGGATATTAGTCCAGCGCATCCAAAGGTGATGCCTGTCGTCACTGCGACTTGGCCGAGGAGATTGAACCTTAGGTTCGTTAGTACATTGACATCACAAAAATGAGGTCCATGACCAGGCTTGTAAAGAATTGTTAGCACTAACCAGCCAGTAATCCAAGACCAAAACGCCGCTTGACCTGGAGGAGCTAAGATGGCAGCCCAGAAATAAGGTCCGCCACTTGTCGGGACTGCAGAAACAATCTCTGCCATTCCAAGAGCAACGAACATCGCTGGATCGATCAGCTACTTTGAATTGCTCATTTGTGTTTAGCGGAGAACGTACTAAAAAAGCAAACAACGATCCAGCCCACAGACATGACGCCTGGTCCACCAGTTGAAAGGCCGTATTCGAACAGACTTTGAGATGACAGTGGTTAGTTGGCAAGGTAGAAGCAAATCTCCTGTGGTTAACATACGTGGTTATACCTGTAATTACACTCTGAGATTCGGTCAGTTCCTGATCTCGCTGCCGTCGATGGAAGATGGATCGACTCTGCCGTTTAAAGCTTCCAGAGCACATTGCGCAATATCTAATTCATTATTCTTTCATTCCAGGCTTGAAGTCTGCAATGACAACAAGGCAAAGATAGTGTAGAAACCCCATAAGATCAGACGGAACTCCCATTGTCTAAGCTGCTTTTTCGAGAAGAAAGTTTTGGGCTTACAATAATAGAAAAGGATACACCAAAATTGTGTAGCAGAGACCAATTACGGGTGAGCTCCTGCTTATAGCCCATTTCTGCAAGGCGGTCTTCATCGTGCTCTCTAATAGCAGCCACGGAATCCTGCCTCTCTGCCATAGGATTGTCGTCCATCTTATCTGATCCAAATTCTCCTATCTACTTGGCGTTGTGATGCTCCAATAGGTGGAGCTAATACTGACTCGACGGTAGGATTCAGGGTAAATCGTATACGCGATTCGACGCGCAGGTTGCAAGAGACGTAGTCGCCCATCTTGGAGGTCTGCCTTTACATACTTTAGCCACTTGTTGATGGGCGCGCCGGTACTGCTATCTTCAAGGGTCCAGACCGGCGACACGGCAGAGAATAACGACTTGATTGGTTCGCCTGTTTTCACCCGATCTGGCTAGTCAGGTATCAAGCTCTCTTCGGAACTCAATGCTACAGCTGTCAGCAGCATGGCAGACAACCCGCTGCTTAAGGCATTACCGCCTGAGACCGACTACATCTCCTACCTCACCATCCTCGAGTACAACCTCACCGACGAGCAACTTCCCACGCTACACAACATTCTACAAGACACAACACTGACAGCAAACATTGGCTGGGATTTGGTCCACTTGCTTCTTCCATTGCTACCGGCATCGCGAGAATGTCTTCAAGATGTTGCAAGATTGGGGAATCCGAGGGAGGTTGTTCTGAAGGTGACAGAAATGTTAGAGGGGATTGGGGCCGAGGATGAGGACGAGGAGGACGAGGCTGAGGAAGAGGACACTGAAGATGTCTCTGAGAGGATTGAGGAGCTGAAGGTCAAAGATGATGAGGCGCCTAGGAAGCAGCCTGAGTCCTCAATACACCCGACACTGAGGCCTGAAGAACCTCAAGAGACACCTAAACCGTCATCAAAAGCCGTCAGATTCAGCACCCTACTGGAAATGCTCTCCATCCTCCACCCCCGCATCAAAACGAAATATCCCAGCCGCTTCCTCTCGACCTCTCTACAATCCATCCTACCTGCCTTCATGCAAATAGCGAGACGACTGGAAGCTACAGAAGCTGTCTTAGGCTTCATCAAAGCCCTCTCTGGGACTAAGAGGCCTAGACTTCCGCCCCGTAAAAGCAGCTCGGCAGTGCTCACACAGTCAATGATTAAGTCTGCGCCAGATCCCGAAGGCAAGGATGAGGCCTTAGGCGCAGACGAGGTAGCATTGCAAGCTCGACTGCTGCAGTCCTTCCTGACGTTCGTCACTGAGGGGTATATGTCATCAATGGCTGCAGATGAAGATGTGCCTGGTTTAGCGTGGTCAAGCAGATTCCAGGAGAAGCTACATCCCGAGAAGTGCATCCCTGGTAGAAGTACTTACACCGACTTGTTTACTGAGGAAGAAAGTTTACATGAACGAGATACTGTGATTGGCCAAATCCTTGTGAGTTTCATGTACCATTCCTGGATTCCAATGCTGACTGAGTAGGCACTCGCCCGAGATCTCAAACTCAGCGCCGAAGAGTTGCTTGCTAGCATCACGAAGCCGGAGGAGGAGGAAGGTGAAGACATGGAGCTGCCTTCAATACCAACCGATGTTCCATTATCTCGAACAGGCTCGCTATACCTTCTATCAACCATGGCGGCGTCATCTACGCTCTTTGACGCTCCAGCCTCTTTACCATCTCTCAGCCTCGTCCCAGACTTCGCTGCCATACTCGCCAGCTCCCTTGGAGATTCTGCGACCGGCAGCACGGGGGCAGAGCCTGAACCACTGATCGATGCAGTGCTCTTCCTAGGCTTCCTTATCATCAACTCTGGACGAGGCATTCCGCCGGACAATGACGCGGCCTACAATAACATCCTCCAACGCCTCTCCTTACTTTCCGCAAACATGCCATCACCCGCGCTACGATACCACGCCCATGTCTTGACCTGCTCAATTCTACATGCCCACCCGTCAGACCACGTCCGCTTGGCTTTCATACGAGATACACTCGAGCACTGCCCATACGAGAACCTCAAAGCGAGCGCTATTGGCTGGTTGAAAGATGAGATACTTGCTGCAGAAATGATTGTACAGGCCGGGAAACAGTCAGATGAGACATCTATCTTCGCAACGCCTGCTTGCCTGACCACACTTGCACCGTTCCTGTTTCCCAACCCTAACGAACTCATGGAAGGTCAGTCCACGCCCGATAGCTACGCCACCTTTCAAGCCCATCAAGGATTCTACCTCGCAGTTCTGAACCTTATCTACCTACTCCTCTCCTCTCCGGCGCTTCTCTCTCGGCTACAGATCGCCACATTGGTCCAAGAGCGGGGATTCCCAAATTTGCTGTATCCTCTCCTTAGCGCTGCCAACAAGTTCAGCGCTAGCATTCGAAATGGGGAGCTTAGTTTTGGTGACGATGAAGGAAAAGATGCAGCTTTGGTGAGCATGGATCTTGTGGTCATGGAAATTCAAGAGATCATGGATGCTAAGGTGAAGGCTGGTGTTCGGAGTTGGGAGTTGGAAGCTGATACTGGGCCTGGGGCTCAGGAAGGGTGATGAATGAGCGCTTGGATATTAAGCATGAGATATGTAGTAGAGGGAATGTGAAGCAATGTGTGATGAATGGCCACGATGTTTTTCATTCCTGAATAGGCACCGCCTTCGAAGGTTCAAGCTGGTGGAGGGTTTATTCCTTCAATATGGAAATCTCAGTATTCCCCTTTTTAGCCTACATACACGTAAATGAAACCATTCGAGGAGACAAAACGTGATCCTACTGTCCCAAGTATTTGAAGGATCTTTACTCGCTGACGTTTCCAGCAAGTCTGCACACCCCCAACCCCACTTCTGACCTTCTCAAGGCCGTTTTTATCCCCAAAACGTATAGTTCGTATACTCAAGGACTTCAGAATGCCAAAAAGTCAAAAGAATCGACACCTGCAGGATTTGAACCTGCGCTCACGAATGAAACAGATATCAATGAAATTCGAGTCTGTCGCCTTAACCACTCGGCCAAAGTGTCAAAGAACTTCAAGTGTTTTCATTATATTAAATAATAATCTCGATTCTTTAAGACTGTCTCTTTGACCAAATCAGCGTCATGATCTAATTGACCTCGCTCTTCTCCATGTCGACTAAGGACCTGCGGTGAGGTTTGCTTCACCCTCTTGTGCTTCTCTACGTTTTTCGTCCATTTCCGCAAACCTCTTACCTCCTCAGGACTGATTGCCACTGATCCTCACCATACCGCCAATTGTACTCCCGAACACCATCAGAGCCCCTACTCTGGGCTTTTGCGAAAGGACTGCCAACCAAATAAGTTCGGCTTTCTTCATTCCCATATTAGTCCGCCGAAACCGCCGTTCTCTCTTCCTCGCGACTTCTTGGGGCCCTCATCCTCCGCCGACAATGTCACAGCCCTCCACCTCCTGTCCTTCGTCCACAAATTCCCCAACCTCCACGCCTCCAGCGAATCCCTCACCACTCCCCCTCCGCCCAATCTTCCTAACCCTCCTCCTCGCCTGCCCGCTCCTCGTCCTCCTCCCACCCAGAAAACTAGACCTCTACACCTTCTCCCTCAGTGGCGCCTGGGTCTACAGCGCCGAAGAGCTCGCCTTTGGTCAAGCGCGACGACAGCGGACGGGGAATACGGGTGTGATGGGTATACTTGGTAAAGCGCAGGTCGACGAAACAAGTGGGGCAAGGGAAGAGAGGTTATTACCGGGGGATAGAGGTGGTGGAGAGAAAAGGGAGGATGACATAGAAGGGTTGAAGGGCATGGCGAAGAAGATATGGATGGGGGATGAGAGGCATGGGTGGCAGAAACGGAGGTTGGAGAAGGAGAAGGAGGAGTTGGAAGCTGGGAAGGGGTATGGGGATATTATTATGGAGCAGGTGAAGGAGGTATTTCCTGGTTTTGGTGGGAGGAGGAAGGAGGATGGGGAGGATGAGAAGGAAGCGTGATGAGGGCCGGTATATGGACTACAAATGGGTGTTTGCATAGCGTTCAGTGCATTCAAGCGAGCATTTGCAAGGTGCTGGACTGGAATTGGGATATATATGTATGGTATTTTTCTATCTGCTCCTGCCTAGTCTATCGAGATTGAGAAAGAAATGGAAGATGGTGTTGGCTACCTCCCCTGATGTGTCGTTATTTTTGGAGTTCGCCACCATCGCTGACAGATGGAAGTCCAGCTTGCATTCCACAAAGTTCTATTGTTACACGGGCAGTAGCCCCAATATCTCGACCCCTCTTGGGATAATTGCCCTCAATTGCCGCCATGTCTCAGGCATTCAACTGAGCATCTCGTCCGCTGTGAGTTGCTTTGCTTTCGCTGGTGAGGCATCAGCTTGCGAGGGTTCTCTTCTTCTTCTTCTTCTTCTTCTTCTTCTTCTTCTTCTTCATCACCATCATCGCTCTCCTCGAGGCGCAATATATGACGCTCCTCCTTCTCGACGACCGGTGCTTGGATCTTGATTGATCCGTCTTCATGACGGCCCGTGACCGCCAAGAATCCACCAGAAACCACGTGAACAACGTGGCCGAATCCGTGTGTATCCTTCATTCTGCAACGCTCGCTGTTTGATTCCATATGCGCGATGAGTGCCATTGGAGATTTGAAGATCTTGAGGCATTTCAGGCAGCGATGGTCGGTACCTTGGTGGTAACCCGAACTCAAGTGGTATTTGAGGTCGTTGATCTCCGTAAAGTTGGCCCTGATGAAGGTTAACTACCCGAACAAATCGAAAGAAGGAAGGGTGCAACCCCTTGGATACGTACTTACAAGTGGTAAACGGACAGTAATACATGCCATCTAAGCCATGACGTTCAAATTGCATGTTATCCCAGTCTGTGCGAATCAAGTGCTGAGAGCCAGATTCTGAAGGCAAGATGTTCCTACGATAGTCGGGCATCGTGGGAGCTCCCCATTCGCCAATAATTGGTGTGGGTTTGACATACAATGCAGAAGCCTTAGGATCGGAGACAGGACCATTCGAGTCACGCAATATCAAGGCGCCTAACCCTTGAGTGACAGACTCTTCCTTCTTTTTGCCCTTGGTCTTACTCTCTTCCACGGTGGGCCAGTCGGTGGTGTCGACCATATTTGGGGCTACGGACCCTTCGTCTTCCACGGTGCTCTGTTCCCCCTCCGTCAGGTTCGGAGCTCCGGTCAGGTTTGAAGCCGCTTCAATGGTCCCACCATAGGGTGTGTCGTCGTCCATGAAGTTAGGTGTCAAGGCTGTACCCCCAACGGACTCGTCGACGGACTGGTAGTCTCCAGCCTCCGATGGCTGCATGGCAGCAATCAGTGCGCCTGTGTTGCTTGGGCGGTGAGACATCTCATCCATGTACAGTGCTGCTCTAGCTCGGTTTCCTAGGAGGTCAAATTGAGTGAGACGCTCAGCATTCTGACCTCTACGACTGTTGCACCTGCCCTCGTGGATGTGGGCAATCAAGCCTGCCCCTCTCTCGAAAACGTACCCGCATCCTGGACACTGGACATTCTGCTCGGTGGAATGCATCTAACAATGTCAGCAGAGCTGCTAAGCGTGATCATCACGAGACCAACTCACCTGGCGTTGGTGTTTGTCACGGCCAGCCTCGCTTCGAAAGTCTTCTCCACAGACCAAGCAACAGATGTGTCTATCGCTATATTTCTTGTGCTCGAGCAGCTCGTCGAAATCATTAAAGTCTATCTTGCAGACACGGCACCACTCATGCTCCTCATCCTTGTGGTTCTTGAGACCCTTTTCCTTGGCAAAGCCATGAGTACAATCCCTGTAGGTACATAGGAACTTGCTATCATCCTTGGCTGACTTTGCAACCTTGCCGGCGTTCATATTCGAAGGATTCTTGCTGTCCTTTGAAGGCCCAGGAGTTGAGGCTGGGCTGGCATTTGATGATGGACGAAGGTGCGGCGGGATGCTCTCGCGTCCTGTGGAGGAGGAACCCAGAGAAGCGTTTCCTGCAGATGGCGTAGGAGTATTGGGAGCATTGCTAGGTCTTGCTGGAGGAGCTGTGGATGACGATGCTTGGCTTGTAGCTCTAGCCGACGTACCACGCACGTCTGGGATGAATTCTGGCCCTGACAGACGACTGGCGGAGGCTGCAAAAGCCGGTGCATTTCCAGATTGACCCCGAACACTGGCTGGTGGGGTACAGGACCATGCTGATCCCAGTGATCGGTTGGTGACCAAACCATACTCCGTATCCAGTGATGATGGACCCGCCTTGTTTGTATTATGGAAAGCACGAACATTAGATGGGAGGTTGTCTCGTGTTTTAGCATGGATTGGTGCGACGATCTTGCCACCCACAATGCTCGAACCTAAAACTGACTTCTGGACATTTTGGGTTATCTGTGCATAGCCAGCCGAGCTTGCCGTGTTGGGCTTGCCGTCCCTCCAAGCACTGACTCGAGGGTCGAGATTCTCGCGTCGAGTAGGGTCGTGTTGCTCGTCGAAGAATGACATGATGGACTTCAAGATTTGTTGTGATGGTATGGAAGTTGGAGGTCCTCGATGAGAGATGTTGGTGTTGAGACGGATGAGATGAGTTGATCGAAGTGAGGTGGCCCTCTACGGTAGAAGTAATAAAACACCGCCTTCCTCATAGTAGTGGCTGCTAGATAGGTTGTTGCCCTGCGTATGTGATGTTTGTCGGGGAAGAAGTCGAAGTTCTTGTTGAAGTTGAAGTTGGGGGATGGTTGAAGTGACGTTTTGATCGGGAAGTTGTGAGGGGCCGGATGAAATTCCTTCACTTGGGCAATTTTCGAAGTGATGCGAAGGTGTTGCAAGTGATAGACGCTTGGACTGGACAGACCCAACTCACCTCAAGAGATTTAGGGTGAAATTTTGAATTAATGGCCATAGACAATGGTTCTTGGATCATGAAAGCCTACGCATAAAGGTACGAAATCTATGGAACTTGAACCCTGAAGGTCAATTTCTACATGAAGTAACGTATCTTCGCTTCTGTACACCAGCTTCACAACGCCCGATCCTTGCCAAATACACTCCTAAGCACATGAGCGATGACCTCCTTTAACATAAGCACCCGCAACACCACCAGCTCCTTCTCTTTTTCCCGCGTTCGGACCTTTGACTCAACCTCGATGCCATTCTACTCCTATTCTCCATCCGACTCTCCATCTCAAACCTCTCCATGCCCTCCCTCGTTGCCTGCAACACCCTCTCCTGTCTCTCCCACATAGCCAATGGTCGATTCGGATGCCTGATGAATTCCTCGGCCCCCAATGCGTTGCCAGAAGGGGAATGTACAATGCCCCTTAGCGTCATAGTAGCCAGTGGTTCTGAAGAGGAACGACGCCGTATGGGAGTCATAAGATAGATTTCATCTTGGAGCAATTCCCTCGGGTCGATGATGTCGGAGATGCGATTGAGTGTACGGGCTGGTGCTGGCGGGGTTACATCTGCGTCGAATGGGGAGTCAAACGGGGAAGTTGGCGATGTCGGGCTCGTAGGAGGACTGGAGTAGGTGTTGATAGTTTTTGGCGAGGCGAGGAGGGATTTGGAGGAGATGTTTGAGGCGCGTTTGGATTGCTTTTGGCCCATTGTTACTCAATGGGTCGGCGCGTCATGGGTTTCTCTGTCAATATCAACTCTCAAATTTGTCTCTCGAAACAAAGGGTAGCATCCTCACAGCTTAAAGCATCCTACAATCGGGCTGTCAAAGACTCATCATGCGGCAGTTGAAGTGAACACAACGATACTCAAAAGCAGATCGAAGGCGGGGAAGCTTTGGAGGGTGCAGGTTGGAGACGTGTTGACTGAACGTGGTATACGCGAGAGAGTGAATTTGGATAGGTTTCCTCTGATATCCCAATGGCCAGGCTTGGCATTCAACCACGATACAGCTGCGCAGAGCAGTTTTCTTCAATCATAATGCAATATTTTCTTACAAAGGAGACTTCCGAAGGAGTGTTCACTTAAACTTCCTCTTCTGGTGGAATCACGGTGCAGCAGAGTAGCCGCCTCCAGTGCGTTGGCCTTCTTTAAGAA